TAACTTTTATTTATACTTTGGGATGATACAAACTTTATGGCAATAGAGATGATACAATCATTGCAACTCCAAAATTTTAAATGCCCATTGTGTTCCTTTAACTTTGATATGACATTATACCACAGATGAGAGTTGGGGGTCAGGCATCTTCCAGAGAAAAAAGCAAGAACTTGTTAGATATTCAGGAATGAAACTTAATCTTCATTTCTTCTAAAAATAGAGGCATAACTATGAAGGTAAAACCCACAAAACACTCAATACTATTCACAAGTTAGAAATTTCTTATCAACTTCAATTCTGTCCGACTAAAATACTACAATATTTTATACTAAAAACTAGAGGCCTGGTGCACATGATGGGGTTGGGGCCCCTCAGCCTGGCCTACACCCTCTCCAATCTGGGACACTTAAACCAGCAGTCGGACATCCCTCCTATAATCCGTGACTGCTGGCTCCTAACTGCTCACCTGCCTGCCTGCCTGATGCCCCTTACCCCTCTGCCCGTCTGCCTGATCGCCCCTAACTACCTTTACCTTCCTGCCTGATCGCCCTTAACCACCTCTGCCTTAGCCCCACCATTGTAGCTTTGTCCAGAGGGACATTGGAAGACATCTGGTCTATCCAGTAGGTGAACACTAGACTCATTAAGAAAAAGAAGAATATATTAATAAATCTTTAGTAACCATCATTATGCTAAAAAAGTCACAAAATAATTACATAATTAAACGTAATATAATTTCTTTTTTAAAAAAAATGTACTTTATTGATTTTTTACGGAGAGGAATAGTTGGAAACATCGATGAGAGAGAAACATCAATCAGCTTCATCCTGTACACTCTCCAATGGGGATGTGCCCGCAACCAAGGTACTTGTCCTTGACCGGAATTGAACCTGGGACCATTCATTCCACAGGCCGATGCTCTATCCACTAATCCAAACTGGTTAGAGCAGTGATATAACTTCTTCATGATAAATAGGATTTACTTCCAAACATGCTTTAAAAAATACTCTAGTCCATCCCTAGTTTTCTTACAGTCATAATCTTATTATATATCCCCCCAAATTTTTTCAATACTGAGTACTCATGAGTGAATAGTCTTTAATAGACCATCACATTCATCTTATCTGTGTCTTTATACTTCAATGTTAGATTTATTGTAATTAGATGAGAAATATGACTTTCTGTTTCATACCATCTGACTTAATCATATCATATTGAAGAAAAATGAAAAATTTAAATGTTCAAAGGCCAAATCATTTGAAAAAGGAAGAGTGCTCTTTAGTTGTGGTTCATTTTTAAGTGCTGGGTTATGGCCTTCATCACATCAGGGAAGTCACTAAAATCCTTTTTTAAGTATATAAAGTATTTAGAAAAGAAGAAAGGCAAACAAAACCACCAAATAATTCATGTTAATAACTTCATACACAGATCCCAGGGAGACTTGCAACACTGACTTCTGCTTTATGTCACTTATACATGTTTGGGTTTTTAATGAGACTAAAAATAATTTATTAAGCTTACATTTGCTTAATCAGTGCTTCAAGTCAGCAAGTACTTAAATACTGAGAGACATTATTTTTTACATAAAAGTTCCTCAATTTATAAAACATTTTCTATTGACAGATAAGGCATAGAAAAATGCTAATGACATCTGTTAAGCTTTACTTATGAAAAGTTAAAGAAATCCTATGGGATAACATCACTCCATTTTTCTTGGAGTACCTCTGATGGAGACTTCCTAAAAAAGTCTGGAAATAATTAGAAACTATTACAGTAACTAGAAAAGTTTACTTGAAAACTAAATCTGCTATTCATCAAAGAACACAATACAATCAGAACACAATATAAAATAAGGTACACATACAGAATAATCCTGATTTTAAAAATTTAAAACAAGTTTGGAGAAGATAGCATTAGATCAGTGATATACTGAAGAACTCTATAGAAAACACCATATTTAAATTATTAAACACTGATTTTTTTTCAAAATAATATCTATTTTAATTTATTACTTCAATTTATTTTACAAATGACAGAAAATCATTTTCAAAAGATGCTAAGTGCAATTTTAATATAAATTAAAAGAGAATAAGAATAGTCAATTATTAATATTTACTTTTATGTCATAAATATTACATGGAAAAGCAAAGTACCCAAAACACAGTAAAAAATGTTTTGGGTATTTCTGGAAAAATAAGTGCAATATAATGCTAATGCTAATAGCTTCTTAAAATATAAAGTCTGTTTTCTACAGAGACCAAAGATTCCCCTGGAGGTGGGGGGTAGACGATGGCATGTCCTTTGGAGCTGAAAGGCTATCCACATGAACTGAATTACTCTTGTCAAGTACCTCCGGACACTTGTAATGTGACCTCATGTAAATTCAGACCACATTTTGCATGCAAACCACTGGTAATAGTAAGTTTAATCAGGAGCTAGATAAGAAGGAAAGAAAACTAATATCCTTAATAATCATAGTAGTTAACATGAAATTTCCCAAATGAAAAGTACAAAAAATAAAGGCATTTAATGTGTTGTAGCAAATAAAAGACGAATAAGGGCTGCAAGAAATGTTACATTTTCCTCTCCTTTTTCAACCCTTAGATATCCATTCTCAACAAAATTTTATTCTTCAGTGGTTTATAAATTTAGAAAAAAGTAAAGCACATTTTAAGCAAATAAATATACTGAAATATTCCATTAGCATTAAAAGCTTATTTTAACCAAGAATTAAATCACAGTGTGGGTAACATCTTAGCTATAATTCCCACTCAACATATATATTTTAAATTATTTTATTAGTAGTAATAACTGCTCATCTTAATAACATGGAAATATCAATACTTAAAACAGGAGATTATAAAATAAAATGTAAGTAAACCCAGAACTCTGCAGCTTAAAAGATTTCTTAGGCTTGCCTTCTGCATTGCCACAAACACAGCCTACAGGAGTGCGCTAATTCTACAGGGATCAGCTCCATTGTCCAAGAGATGCATTAGGCCTGTAGAGAACCCAGCTTTGGAGAGTGCTATGCCAAGCAATCTCCCTCAGCAGCATTAACTATATTTATTTCTCTTCATCAGAAGTCTGCTACTGCTATGGGATGCCCTGCTACTGGGTGAAAGTAGAATATAAGTCGTGTTGAATTTGACTAGTAAAGAGCAATGATAGATTATTTTTAGAAACTTTTAAGATATCCATTTTATTGTGTCCTTAAAACCAAGATTTTATATACATCCATGGAACAATTAATGACCTACAGTGATGGTTGATGGTTTTATAAGATAATTTCAAAGTAGAATATTAACTCGCCCCACCTGAATTGCAAAAAGAGAAATTACTCATCTGCTCTTTAAAAATATTTTTGTGAAAAGCTATCTTTCAGCTTAAGAGAAAATAATACAGTTGGAGCTTTAAAAAAACAAACAAACAAACAAACAAACAAACAAACATACATTTCTAAGTCGCTTCTATAAGGTATATCTAATCAACCATTGAAATATTTAAATGCACTTTGAATTATTTTTAAAATCAACTTAGAAATCAAACTGAGAGACATGCTTTTAATTGCTTTGCTGAAACACGAAAAGAAAGTGCACAGCATAGAGAGCTTGAATTTCTCACTCTTCCTTTCAATCAATATCTGAGGCAAAGTTTCCTCTCTAGGGCCTTTAATGGCAGGAATTCCTGGAGCCAGCAAATGAGTAATGTTAAACCTATGATTAGATGATGAGGCCATCAAAGACACTAGACCCTAATGCTACACTCCTCTTTATTTCTCTGAACTGCAGTGAAAACCAGAGCTAAGGAAAAAGGAATTTAAAGCTATTTTTTTCATAAAAGCATTTTTTTAATGTGCATCATTAAGATCCTAAAAAGTCCAGATAGATCTCTCAGAATATCTCTCGAACTCAGGACTTGGGTATTAGGTAACATTTTTCAAATGCCTTGAAGACGAACTCCTGCTGTTTTCCTTAATGTCTTATTAAAATTCTTGCTGGCTGAAAAGGGGGAAATATGTTCCCTATGAACATATTCTTGAAGAAAGTAAACCTGAAGACTGAAAATCAATCGGTAAGTTTTTGGTTTATTTTTGCTCATGTTTTATAGGATCTACTGAAGCCATATTGTTTTTTTATTTGCGAGTTAGCTTTTAAGCAAACCTCAGGTCAGAAACTAGAAACTGTTTAAATGTATTTTTCTTTCTGCTGAGGAAACTAGGAATAAATATAATAATATTTATTACAAAACATAAGTAGCTTCTTTTCTCATTCTCATATTTTATTTATACTTAAATAAAAATCAGCATCACAAACATACTTGAAAGAGCTGGTGAGAAGAAAGACCATTAGGTACCCAATTTAGTTATCAGAAAAATGTAAGATATATATGCTTAATTTTATTATAATTGCTAGGAAGAAACAGTATCCAACAATTACTATTCTATTTTTAATTCTGATTACTAAAGAAAAGAATAAGTGATTTCTAGAATTTACACTGAAATATACAAATTCCAGTGAAAAAAAAGAAAGCAGAAGGGTATCATATCAAAGACAACCCACTGAACAGCTGTATTTATACTTTGGCTATTGCATTAAAAAAACAACTTAATTCTCATTATCTCTAATCTAACAGAAGAAATCATGTAATTAATAATAAAAATTAAAAGGATAAATTCTATTGTGTCATCTTTAAAAAATGGAGTATAAAAAGATAAATAACAAATTTTGTATAATATATACAGAGATAAAAAGATAGGGAACAATAGCAGGATAGGAAGGGTGGGAAAGAAAAAGAAAGCTACAAAGAAGGGGGAGGGAGCCTAAATCAATATATACGTGGTAAGATCATCTACATATAAGTATATCTCAATATAAATTACTTTATTCATCTATGGGATGATAGATGAAAATTTAAAATATATAAACATATACATATATATGCATAATCATTCTACTGTTAGAAACATTCGAAAAAATCAAATAAATGAGATTTCGTACCTGAGAACAAAGCAGCATAACAAGCTCAACCACAGAAGTACTGGACTTCATACAAACAAGGCCTATAATAAAGGGTTAAAACAAAATGAAATTACAATGGTAGACACATTATCAATTCCAAGTTAATTCATGATAAAGTTTTAACTTTAGAACTCCTAAATATACACTTTATTGAATTTATTAGGGTGACATTGGTTAATAAAATTACTTAGGTTCCAGGTATACAATTCAACAATACATCATTTGTATACTGTATTGTGTGTTTATTATCCACATTCAGTCTCCTTCCTTTGCCATTGACATGTTTTATAGCATTAATTTTTAAAAACTCAGGTATTCACGATGTGAAAAATACTGAAAATTGACTTCATGCTTTGGTTATTTATTTGGTGAAGGCATTTCTTATATTTAAATAAGGTGGTTATCAAAATTGATGAGGTAGTTAGACCTACTTTCATTACAATGACAGTTATATGATTCTTTCCTGAAGCACAGAACAATAATCATTGAAGATCTACCTAAATTTTCTTCCAAAAGGAAAAATTAAAATAATTTGCAAATAGGTAATTTTGCATTGGTTGCCAGTTGTTAAATGATTTTAATATATTAAAAATAAAAGTTCACACAATTAACATATTACACAACACATAAAATCTTCCAGTGTTCTGCTTCCAAAGTCTCTGAACATATATCGGGGGGGGGGGGGGAGGAGAATTAAATATTTTTGAAATAATGGCTACTATTCATTGATCAGTTACTATGTGCTGGGCACTATGTGTTAAGTGCCTTAGGTATATAGTCTCATTTAATTTTCATTTAAATTTTGTAATATACTATTTTTATTCTCATTGTATAGGCAAGAAAATATTATTCCAATAAACATTAAGTAATCATCCATACTTTTCCCAATAATAACTGTTATAACATGTCACAAAGCAGATCATGATTGGTACTTTTTAAAAGTGCCAACATAGAGAAAGACTAACCAAGAAGTAATAAACTTTGGATGAGAGCATACTAATAATGATGTTTCTTTTTATATGAGGACAAATGTAATCATTAAAAGCTTTTTACAGTAAGAAATGTCATCATTTTACATTAGTGGTAGCTAACTGGAGACTTGAAGCAAAACCAGTAATTTCTTAAGGTGATTTCAATAAACACTTTCAACTGCTTTCTAGACACTAGCAGGTATACTGTTGTAGGGCATAAGTACCTTTTTTTGCCCACTCTGCTAATGACCCTACCCTTATTGTACAGATAGAACAAGCTGTAAAAAGGCAGTAGTATTCCATCTTATCAGATCTTTGGGCAGACAGTTAACTAATGAAATAAAAGGCAGATGTGAGAAGCTTCTTAAGAATGAGCTTCTTAAATGCAAGAAGCTCATTTAAGAGACAATTGGTATAACTGCTCAGCAAATCTCATGCTCAGGAGATAAAAGGCAAAAAGAAGCTAAATGGGACATTTATTATCTGTTGGCCACTCAACTATTTGAAATTCTGACACAGATAAACTAAGTAAAAGGCCAAAGGACTATGCATACCAAGATTATCATAATTAAGATGTATACTCTATATGAATTTAGATTTAAACTGTAAGGTATATAAAAGGATGATTAGACTACAGGGCTATTTGAAGTGGCTATATAAAGAATCATTCACCACATATTATGTGCATTAAGAGATTTTAAATACATAACAACTTGAAGTAAAACTTAGGAAAAACATGCAGTTACATTCATTTCTCACAGACTAATATTTTAAATGAACAGTTAAAATAAAACCTCCATGTAACAAAAAAATCATAATCTTTAAAAGTACTAGCGTAAGAAAAATATAAACAAATGCTCAATCAATACTTTGTTCCAAGAAACTGACAACAAATAGATAGAAAAATTTCATATTATAAGTAGTATTCTCAGTATTTTGAAAAAGGCCACTGTGATTCCAACTCCACAGACATTCACACCTTTACTAACTAATACGTTGTCTAATTAGTTTTAAACAATATGAATTAATGAATTCTCTTCAAAAGAAAAACAAAACACTAACCTTGACAATGAGAACACAGTAGAGGCAATTTTGGAAGACTTACCGACCTCCAAAAATTATATAATCACTTTAGTTGCAACTATGTCTAAGTATTAACAAAAGTATTATTAAAACAAACAGGTAAATTCCAATTTTTAGTGATATTGAAAATAAAGCAGTCTGATAACACAATGTCCTTGTATAGTTTCTAAGTAAAAACAAACCCATGTTTAAAAATTTATGATGTTATTATAAAAATGGTTTTGTATAACTTTAGTCATAAGCTTAACTAGCCAAATTTCCTAATGATGCTATAAATAACTCTGGCTATAAATGGATAAAGCATATATCTTATAAGTGTGTGTCTTAAAAAGGTTGAGTTTTTCCTTTTTTGGTTCTGTCAGGATTTCATAATCAAATTCACTTCTTTGACATTTCCCCATCTGTGCAAAGTATGTTTGTACTCAGGAATTTACAATAATGAACAAGGCATCATCTATACCTTCCACATGTTCCATACATTAATCCAATCTCTAGATTACCCAACATTTACATTGAGCCTTATTATTTACAATCACTTCTATATACACTATCTCATTCAATTCTCTTTTAAAAAAAGATATTTTATTGATTTTTTACATAGAGGAAGGGAGAGGGACAGAGAGCTAGAAACATCGATGAGAGAGAGACATCGATCAGTTGCCTCCTGCACACAGAGTGTACAAAGTGTTAGAATAACAGGAAGATCCAAGAGCAACTCTGGGGAATTTATAAGGAATGTGACATTGAATTGAATGATATTGAGCTTTTCTGAATAAAAGAAGGAAAAAAGGGAAAGGCGACTGAGGTGAAAGAAAAATGTTAGAGGTATAAAAAAACATGAAATAGCTAGTAAAATCAAGTTGGAATGTTATGTTGGGGAGTGCAGATGTGAGAGAGTGAGCTTAAATGAAGACAGAGAGCTAGACAGAAGCAGAGCCATAATTGGCATATTTTTTTCCTATTGGCAACAGAAAACCAGTGAAGATTTCAAGCAAGGGGAAGATAGAATCTAGTCCATTTTGTACAGATCTCTTTCTTTCAGTGACATAGGAAGAAACCTGAACTGCAAAGTCAAGTTAAGATAGTGAAGGCCTGTGCTGAAGGTAGTGGCAATTCAGATTTGAAACACACTTTGAGACAATAAAATATTTTTTACAGAATATGAGCTTAAAGGGTAGTAGAGTAAAGGAGCTATCGAAGTGTGAGTGATGATACCTTTAACTGAGACAAGGAAACAAATGAAGGAGCAGGTTGTCAGAAAGAAAGTGCCAAATTTAAATATGATCAAAATCAGAAATATTGATAGGCAAAAAATTAATTTTGGGATTATGATTTATTCTCTTTAAAAATTATTGTTCAGAGTATTACATGTCTCCTGTTTCCCCCATTGTGACCTCTCCCCAGCCACCCTAGCTCCCAGCACATGCCCTTACCCCTTTACTGACTGTGTCCATTGGTTATGCTTATATTCATGTATACAAGTTCTTTGGCCCATCTCTTACCCTCCTCCTTGGCCTTCCTCTGAAGTTTAATTGTCTATTCAATGCTTCTCTGTCTCTGAATCTATTTTTGTTTATAAGTTTATGCTGTTCATTATATTTCATATATGAATGAGATTATGTGCTATTTATCTTTCTTAAACTGGCTTTTATTTCACTTAGCATAATGCTCTCCATGTCCATCCATGCTGTTGCAAATATATAGTAAGAGTTCCTTCTTTTTGTTTTACAGCAGTGTAGGTCACACACACACACACACACACACACACACACACACACACATCTACACACTCCCATTTCGCTCACACTCACACTCTCTTCCTCACTGCTGTCCTGCCATCCACCTTCTTCTTACTTATGATGATTTATTCTTTTGTTATCTCTGACAAACCAGATATAAATAAGTCATATAGATAACTCAGTATTGAAAAATATAATTGTAACATTTTTTAAGAGTCAAACTAGTAATATTAAAAATACTTATTGTATCAGTAAAGTTTTAAGATCTAGTTTTTCTATTTCTCCTCATAGTAAAATACATTATTTTCCATCAAATAGACATGACAAGTCTGATCATCTGGATTTTAAAAATCAAGTCTTTCCTGGACTATTAAGTTTTTAAATTCCTAATAATTTAATTTTTTAAATCTCCAAATTAGCAGAGACTAATGGCACTGAAATAGTTTCATTTTAGTAATAAATAATGAAAAGAACCATAGACATTGAAAGGAATTTTGCGGGCTCAATATGCTTCATTTGCTTTAGTCTCAGTGAAGTATAGCTGATAATTGGTTTGAAATTCTCTGTTCTATGTATTTTTTACATTGTGTTATAAAGTGTATATCTTTTAAGGCTTCTGCAATATTTACACATCTCTATAAGAATTCTAGCAATCTCTTGTTTTTTAATATTCTTTTGCTTTTCAAAGTTGGAATATGAAATTTATTTTCATATTTCATCATTGTCTAGAAAAAACTTAGTTTCAGTATTATTTTTTAGGAGATCTGAACTTAAAACTTAAAATTAGCAAACCAAGTAATTAATTTGGCTTTCTAATTTAAAAACAAAAAAAAAACAATACCCCCCCCAAAAAAACCCCCACAATATTAAACATCATTTAAAATAATTTAAGATATGTAGTATAACTAACTACTCTTTCGACTCAACATTTTAAGATTGGCCTTATGCTCTTTTAGAGATTTTACTTTATTTTAAAACTGCATTACAAATGAAAACAGTAGCAAAGTTATCTTAAAGCAACTAAAATATCTAAAATAACATTATGTTCAGTTACTAAGAAAAGCCTTTTTAATCATAATTAAACCATGATAGTTTATTTTTATATTTAGATTCTAAATTAAACTGAAAAAAAAAATACACTCAAAATCCCATTAAAAACAGTAAATCCATTCATTCATTGATTTACTTTATTTCAGTAAAAACTAAGTTATGGCAATTTTATAGAAATTTTACTATCTTTAGAATAGG